ATACCAGTTAGGGTGCTGATTGACTAGCTAAGTACGTCTGATCGTTGAGTCGTTGTCACTCACCTACCTCCCCATTACGAGTATTGGTAATATTAAAGTATTACTCCAAAATCTAAAAAAAGTTCTGCTGATACTTTGTCCATAAAAGGATACTTCGTGACTTCTTCGAGGATATATGTAGTATTCGTTCCTGTAGATGGGGCCGTCAATGTGGCGCCTTCACCTTTCTCACCGTCGATGAAACTTCCGTCTGTGATGGTGCTTCAGCATCTTGGCGACATTACGGATATGACGTTTTCGGCTCCAGTGCCAATGTAAGACACTATCATCTCTGCCCATACAGGGGGGGGGGCAAAAAAAAGTCACTTCGACCGAGTCACATATCAGCAAAGTTTTTGCAGCCCAGAGAGAAGATGTGGATACGAGTACCAGGGCGGAAGATACCCAAGATGTTCCTCGATAAGCAGGAGCTCCTCGCCCATCACCTTCATGTACACCAAAATATGAGGTCATCTCCAGTCGCAGCCTGACTGGAGAAGACCTTTGGAATTCATGTCACCTCCAAACAGCTGCGAAACTTCTAGTATGGAGTCACCCATGGATAGCTACTGGGACCAGTACTCTCAATGCGGAAAAGACCTCCAACATCAGCAGCCGACAACGTCGCTACGGTCTAGGACATCATCTTCACCGCAGTCGTCAAGGAGCGGGTTGATGGTATGGACCGGACGTACCTGGAATGGAAAGACCAATATTTTCTTCGTGGACCGGACTGAAGGTGAGCGCTGGCGGTTACATCGAGCAACTCGAGAAGAATATCCTCCCCACATGTCGCCGCCCTACCTTCTTGGAAACTTTGTACTGCTACAGCATTGGGTGCCACCACGTGAATCGAAAGGGGACGGTTTGGGGAAAGAAACTCCCGCCTACCTGGAATGGAAGGGGCTGAGTACCTAAAGAAGATGGAATATCTAAGTAGGTCACCTGACCTGAATCCCCTCAATTACCCGGTTCGGGCGGAGTTCAATAGGGTGGTCTACGGTGGCGGAGAAATCGACTATCTCGCTGATCTCAGGCACCACATCGCGGTCGCGTGCCAGAATCTCTCGATGGCGCTCGTCCAGAAGGCTGTGGCGGAGTTTTATAATAGTATTTAATATGCTCTTTAATATGGTGGTAGAAATGTCCGATTAGAATTTATAAAGTGTAACTTGCCCCCCCCCCTGTTGTATCATGTGATTCAGGATGTCAGAAACCCCCGTGAATAGGTATTCATCGAATCTTGGTGGAAAATGTGGTGGCGACAAATGTCCTACTTGTGATCGGGGCAACCAAGTCACCTCCACAGGCGAACCTCCAGCAGATTTTTTTCTAGAGTTTTTTGAGGTAGTAATAATTGAGGTGGTTCAATGGGGCCGGATATACATCACCTGGCACGAAGACGCCTGGCGCCTGTGCCACAGGTAGAGGCGCTAAAATGGGACATTTGGTGCCGTTGACTGTGATACAGGCGCCAGGAGTTTTCCCAACAGGCCGATGTGGTACCCATGTGTGGGTGGGCCGGCTGGACATCATTCTCATGCAGTCGCGTCGAGTCAGGTTAAAATGACGTTGGAAAACCTCCAAAGTCAAATAGAGTGCAATTGAGTCCGGATATGCATCCCGTGCTTCCATTTCCTAAACTGGAGGGGTCTAGCATCCAGATTATAGTGATTCGCCAGCTCATCGCTGCCCGTGTGGAGTCAGGCTCAGCACAGGTAGTCCTCATTGGCTGTGTTCCAGGGGCGTTATATCCAAAAGATAAAGCTGCATTATAGTCAAGGACGGTACAACTTCCCGACTCGCCATACATTAGGGCTGCGTTTATACTTTGCGGCAGCGTAGCGTAGCGCTTCCAGCGTACGCCAGCGGCAGTGCCGAGGAGAGGATGCATATCGATCTAGCTTCACCAGCGTCACCAGCGGCACGCTGGCGTAGCGAGGGCACGGGAAGCATAGCTATCTCTAGCTTCACCAGCGTTTCTCGAGCGTTTCTCCAGCGGCACCAGCGTTTTGCTAGCGCTTGCAGCGGCAGGGAGTAGAGACTATGTGGCCGTGAGAGACGCGGAATCGACGTGTATTGTAGAGACCATGTGGCCGTCGGAGACGCAGAAGCGATGTGCATTGTAGAGACTATGTGGCCGTCGGAGACGCAGAAGCGATGTGCATTGTAGAGACTATGTGGCCGTCGGAGACGCAGAAGCGATGTGCATTGTAGAGACTAAGGGCGAGTGAGAGACGCGCAATCGATGTGTTTTGTACCCTCCAGCTCTCCCATAGTCTCTACTCCCTGCCGCTGCAAACGCTAGCAAAACGCTGGTGAAACGCTGGAGAAACGCTGGCGTACGCTAGCGTACGCCAGCGTGCCGCTGGTGACGCTGGTGAAGCTAGATCGATATGCATCCTCTCTTCGGCACTGCCGCTGGCGTACGCTGGAAGCGCTACGCTACGCTGCCGCAAAGTATAAACGCAGCCTAATGTGGGGGCCGGGAATCAAGATCGTTCTGAATAGTGAAAGTGCAAAAGTCGTTTTATTCAGTTCGCATAATAAATTACGGTATAGCCACTTCTTTTGATATCGTCATAAAAGCTACTCCAATTAGAGTAAAACCATAGGCGATTGCTAGAATGATGAGGTTTCGACGACCCTGAAAATCATGCCAAAGATTGTATCGATCATTTCACAAATGTGTGGCACTTACCGTAATTTCGTGGAAATACAGTATACTCCACATCGACACCACCAAACCTGGTGCCATTGCACAAATCGGATACGCAATTGCGGCATTCAATTGATCGATGGCGATTACGAATGACGTCATCGCCAGAGCGAATATCGCCCCTGCTAGCATAGACGGGAGTGCTGCCTCGGCATTTATCCAAGGACTATTTCGCCTGAAATACAAAAATCAAAGGAGAAGTAAAAGAAAGATGGTTAAGGTAGTTGGTGGACACCTGACAGTCCAAACACACGCCCCTTATCTGCTTGTTTCAGGGCACGTCGCATGTTACCCTTGAACCCTTGAAAATCCCGTCGTCGTATCCTCAAAGTGAGAAGGGGTGAAGGGAAACGTATCTAGCCTCGATAAAAAATTCTCCGATTTTTAGTTCGTTCTGATGTGCTGTATAGCAGATCTTCGGGAACTTCTGGTGATTGGTTGGTTGTAGGACGAAAAGAAAAGGGGGAGAAAGGTGGGATGGGAGGGGTAGGGGGAAGGCGAATTCAGCGAAAATTGTTGCCAACGTCGGCCGGACATGCCTTGTCGTCCGTATCCTCGTTGGCATCAACCAACGCCTGTACGTACACATAAGCGCGCAGACGAGCAGAAAATAGGCGTGGCCAAGGTTTGCTACCCTTCCCCCTTCGAGCCACCCTAGTGCGATAGAAAAAAAAATTCCCGTTGGAAGCTTACTTGATAAACGAATACACGACGAAGATGAAGGCAGAAGTGCAAAGAACACCGCTAAAGAATGAAAAGAGATACGGTGGACTTTCTCCGGTCGCGCCCTCAAATTCATCTTGATGTGCCTGAAGATTACTGTATGAGGAGGGTGGCACAGTAATTGACAGCTGCGTAAAAGTACCTTGATATAGTTGACAGGCAGCCACATTGTACCGTAAAATGTACCACAGAACATAGCGGCTAGGAAACTTCTGAAATTATCCAAAGTTGTCTGTTAGTGCAAAAAAAATCAGCAAAAATCGGCATTCACGAGCAGGTTGAAAAGTGGGCGGGACTAAAATTGGCTCAAGACAGAGCTTGTTCAAACCACTGAAGTTGCACGGCGCCGCAGAAAACTTCCGATACAGTCATAGCAAGCCATTAAGTACGAAATTAGCTGCTTTCTAATACGAGCTGCTTGCTGGCTACACCCCATATCCAGGAGGTGGACGGGGCGTAGCTGCGTCGTCACTCAAACGTTAGGACGATGGAACCTCGCAGTTTTGGGGCAACTGTTATCAGTTCTTTGTCTAGCACAATTTAAGAAATTTAGTATAAATGAAAATATCCCATGAAGAACGCATCCTACGTCACGTCAAGATGAAGAGCGCGTCCACACCCTCTCCTTCTCTAGGATATGAACTGTGATACGGATAACACGTGAAGCCATCTCTCTCAGTAACCAGTCCACCTA